AAATACTTAAATTTTGCTGAATTATTTATAATTATTAATAAGATATGATATTTTAAAGCTTATGTACCTCCTTTTTCTTTTGCTATATATATATNATATATATATTTTCCCCACCCAGAAAAATTATTCTCCGCCGCCCCAGTCCTCACTGAGTATCAGCTTATCAGCTCGAATAGTGTATATATAATAGTAGGGATTTAGGACATCGTACAGGTGAAAGGACACACTTTAATTTTCACTGTGACTGATTTACTCATGATGTAATTTTAAGATTAGATTTTTTTAGTGTTTGACCATTTCGGTCTTCAAAATATGCCGTTTCTAGTAGAATGATGACCCATTTATATACAGGTCTAATTGCATTATCCGGTCACTTCCTCGAAGTTCATTAGGTCCTCTTTTCCTATTGCACTATATGGTGCGAAATTACACAAAATTTTCACAAAAATTTATCATAGGCAATATAGACAATAGGACAATTTGTGCGTATTTTAAAATACAGGCGCCGGGAAGGAATGATTTTGATACGTTTCAAAATGCTAAGGTCGGGCGCTCGACTTTTCACTACCAACATGTTACTAAGGGTGTGTTCCAGTAACGCTCTCCAACAACTTACCGACAACTTAATTATGCCTTACATCTTACGGCAACTGTGTGTGGAATAGCAAATGAACACATGTGCAGACAGCTGATTAGATCTATGGTCCCGCACGTGGATGTACGTAAATGCTTTGGGGTTAGTACACTATAATGTAAAAAAAAAGGTATGTGCAGAACTTGCGGGTTTGTTCACTTATGAAATAATTGACACACAGTTGAAATGAAAAAGACGTGTGCCTGACTTTAGAATTTTGAAATATTTCAAAATTAAATCCTTCAACCGCCCTGGGCGTCCGCATTTTGAAATACGCTTAATATGTGACCAGTGCGTGGACCAAGAGCTGAGGCCTGAGGGTAATCAAAATTGTTACCAGCCGCCACACTAAGAAAAAAGTGGGAGCGGTGATTTCCCAGCGGGTGGTGAGGTTATGCTCTCATAGTTGTAGGGCGTATGTAGCGCCACTTACGGTACAACAGGTATTCCACACTCGAAGGATCGCTTGTATCCTGCATGAGTGGGAGCTGTGGCGTCCCACTGGGTGGACAAAATCGCACCGTCAGTGAAATATGCTCATGGGAGTATAGGTAGGAGATAGTTGCAGTCTCGCCAAGTGAGATTGTGTATGCACCGCAAGGGGGGCTCTAATGACTCTAGCCTCTCGATGTGGGACAGCAGCTGCCCCACTCGAGCTGAGATAATTAGCCCTACTGTTTCGTAAAGCAAAGCTCCTTCAAAAGAGTTCTGCTCTCCCACTTCTTTATCAGTGCAAATTCATCAAAGTAAAGGAACTTTATAATTTGTCGAGATCAAAAATATTCCGTTCATATTTCATTCTAGTGAAAAGTTTTGTTGGTATTTAAAAAGTGTTATATGATCTTTTTTATAAACCAGCCGCAATCTAGAGTCAACTAATCACAGCTCTCAGCTAGACAAGGACACGATTCCTCTTATGTGCAGCTGTCTCTCTCTACGCTGATCTCGCTGCCAATGACAAGCTGACATACCGGCTTGCGTGCTCTATTCTTACACCTCTATGATCTTACCTAAAGTAAGTTACCTAGTTTCTGACAATATTACTGACATTCAATATTTTTGAATTACAGTAGTTTTCGCACGAAAATCAGTGTATTTTAACCATTTTAATAACTCTTAGCTCGTCAATCTTATAATCGACTCGCAGTTTACGTCGTTGAAAAAGTAGAACTGGAAAAATATTTAATTTAACGAAATAAACCTTTTGTACAAAAAGACTATATCCCAGGGTTGTTAATAAAAGTTGCTTTTTAGAATTAGAAGTTTTGAAAGTTTTAAAACTTTGAAAAGTTCTGTTTTGTTTGCTACAATCTATATAGCTATAGCTATAAGGCACAAGGTCTATAGAGTATAGAGGTAATGCGTGTTGTGCTCTCCTACTGTAACAAGTGTACGAACCCTTATTCTTTTTTGTCAATCAATTGATGCCAGGGATCTCAGAAGTGATAGAATAATTTGGCGGAAAATTCAAATGGACTATATAGAGCATGACGCAGAAACCCAGACAACACTTTTATGCATAATAAATTAATAAAACAAACCCAAGCTATTCAACCCAAAGACCCGGGGTGACTACTAGCAAATATCTCAAATAATAAATTGTTAAATTTAATAACAAAAGCGCCTTTCACCCAATGACCCGGGGCGCTTACTGGCAAATAAATTAATTAATTAATTGCTAAATTTAATAACAAAAGCGCCTTTCACACAATGACCCGGGGCGCTTACTGACAAATGTATTNAAAATGTATTTTATAATTTTCTTACAAACGTTTCTGCACACGTAAGTACTGACGTAAGTATTGAAGTAAGTTCTGACGTAAGTATTGACGTTATTACTGGCGCAAGTGCTAACGTAAGAAATAATTCGATTATCATATGGCATTACTTACATATGTACTTACGTCAATTTTTGTGTTACTTTTTCAGGTGGGCGTTCTTTAATCAACAGAGTGGCCAGTAATAAGCGCCCCGCGTCATTGGGTGATAGGAGCTTGTGTTATGATTTAGGGTTTTACTATTTATTAGAGTTACTAGTAAGCGCCCCAAATCATCAGGTCATAGGCACTTACTTACATATGTACTTACGTCAATTTTTGTGTTACTTTTTCAGGTGGGCGTTCTTTAATCAACAGAGTGGCCAGTAGTAAGCGCCCCGCGTCATTGGGTGAAAGGCGCTTTTGTTATCAAATTTAGCAATTAATTATTTAATGCATTTGCCAGTAAGCGCCCCGGGTCATTGGGTGAAAGGCGCTTTTGTTATTAAATTTAGCAATTAATTATTAAATCCATTTGCCAGTAAGCGCCCCGGTCATTGGGTAAAAGGCGCTTTTGTTATTAAATTTAACAATTTATTATTTGAGATATTTGCTAGTAGTCACCCTGGGTCTTTGGGTTGAATAGCTTGGGTTTGTTTTATTAATTTATTATGCATAAAAGTGTTATCTGGGTTTCTGCGTCATGCCCCATATAGTCAATTTGAATTTCCCGCCAACTTATTCTATCACTTCTGAGATCCCTGGCATCAACTGATTGACAAAAAAGAATAAGGGTTCGTACACTTGTTACAGTAGGAGAGCACAACACGCATTACCTCTATACTCTATAGACCTTGTGCCTTATAGCTATAGCTATATAGATTGTAGCAAACAAAACAGAACTTTTCAAAGTTTTAAAACTTTCAAAACTTCTAATTCTAAAAAGCATTTTTTATTAACAACCCTGCTATATCCTTAATAAAAATCTACACAAAATAACTATAGATTGAGATTTGAGTGCGTACTTTAATTACTGATGTTTCTGACATATTTCTGCCGTTTCTGACAGAAATGAGTCATTAACCTCCGAGTCGCGTCGGAAACCTGCCACTGGTCTTACCCCGAATAATCTGTGCCAAAAGGTTCGTTCAAGCCCCTTTTGGTTCGGTTCAGTTCTTATTTAACAAAATGTACCTATATATACAGAACCAGTTCTGTTTGGTTCCCTATACATAGGTTCATTTTGTTAAGAGAATCGAACCGAACCAAAAGGGGCTTGAACAAATCTAAAAGTGAGAATTTTGGGTCTCGATGTAACGAGTTACATATAGGTATACAAATTTACTGTAAGTAGAGAATGATTATTTTTTATAAACTTTTTCAAAAAGTACCTTCGTCCTTTACAGCAATCAATTTCTTTGCTATTGAAATAGTGGAAAACAAGATTCTCATGCATCATTAGTCAAAAAGGTTTTTCTACATGATGATCATTCTTTTTCTCAAGTCTAAGTTAATAAAAGAATTTTTAATACGAACTTTTGCCATGATGACATACAATATTGAAAAAGACGCTCTCATTTACTCTTAAACGGTCATTTTGGGACTCACTATCACTTACTTGGAAATCTATTATATTTTTTCTGCATTAAATAAAACCAATGGAATTTTTCAAGGTAGAACGCGACAACTGCTCTGTTTTAAATGCATTTGAAGTATGTTTGTTAAGAGGTTTAAATAAAAAGTCATTACGCATTTTCGAAAAAAATATTAAGTTTTTTCTAACCAACTTGACTACCAAAAATCTGTCTTGCCACGTAATCAATGTCTGTATAACAGATAACATAATTGTATCGCTTATGCATCTGCTAAAATTGATAAACACTTTGTTGCCTGCATCACAGTTATCTGATAAACAATATACTTTTACAAACCATCATATCAAGTATAATTTACTCTGTATATTTTTTATCATGTTTGGTAAACCTATTTGTTACCTTAATCTCAACAAAAAGAATTGCCAATTTTCGTTGGCAACGTTATTAAAAAGAATTCTGCTATTAAAACGTGATGTTTTTTTTTTTTTTCGGTTTATAACTTATGGAACATTCAAGAATAATTCTCTATCACTTAAACCTAGAAAAGTTGAATCTGAGTTTGGTGAAGCTAAGTCTTTGATTGGTGTAAGTAATTTGTGCTTCTGTAACTTTTATTGGTTTTTTTTTCTTAATATTTTCAAGTCAAGTGTATTTTATGTATATAATCCACACTATGTAACTTACCATTGTATTAACATGTCAATTTACATGATGAAAAAAAGGAAAAAGAACTATGTCATGATAGCCAAGTCTCTTGACATTTTGAAATTTACATTAGGCAATAATAAAATCCTGCTATCGATCAAAGCCTTAGATTTACCAATCCATTATGAATTAGTACATAATATTGTTGATATTATTACTACCAATATGTCTACAAAGATACAAGGACTTGCCATGAAGTTATTTACCCAATACATTTATTCATTTAATTATGAAGCTCAGTGTATGTTTATTAGAAAAACAATTAATTTAGACTTGAATCAAAAAATTAATAGCGTCGTAATTGGAATTTTTAAAAATATAATAGCTGAAAAAAATTCAAAAACAATTAATTGTACAGATGTTACTAACAACTTCTTATCTATTATAAATCTTAAACCAATTTTCTTAAAAATTTTTTCATTAAACGGCGTACGTACAGATTTACTCCAAATTTCCGATCAATTGATTGTTACACTTAATTTTGTACTTTTTTTTATTATACGACATCAACATAACAAGAAAATTGTTGAATTTTTTAATGGAACTAGCTTTATTTTTCTTCAAACTGTTAAATCTGCTATTCAGTATCAAAAAAAACAATGGAATCTTTATCTTCATGATTCAAAGTACAGGAGCTCAACAAAGGCTAATAGAAATTTTTTAACATTAGATTTTCATCATTCATTAGACCTACCAGTTGAACAAAAAAAAATGATTTATAATGATGCCATAAATATGTTGTTGGTCATGGAAAATATTTTACAACGAATTTATGAACGACTTAATGAAACACTATGTAGCTAATGAAACTGTGTAGCAAAGAATTGTACCTGAAAATATTGAAATAAAAAAGTTTTTAACACCATTAAAGAAGATGTATTTGCTCATACTATTTCAAGCTGCTCCAAACGTTACACCATCATAGAAATAGAAAAAACACTTGTTTTTGAGAAATATACACATTAAATCATAACCTCTGAACGGCACCAGTAAATTAATGTAATAATTTTATTTAAAAAATTCAAACACTACAAGCCATTAACTAACAATAATCGACTCGGTTGAGTCCATGGATTAAGTGTAAGTGAGAAATAGAGATGCGTCAGCAGCAAGCGGCATAGCCAAGTTACAATATAGCCATGCTCTGAAATCTCATGTATGGTGGTCAGTGTTGTGGGTACTTAAGATAATTTGTCCAGCCGCTGACCACCATACATGAGATTTAAGAGCATGGCTATATTGTAACTCCAGCGTCCAGCGGGCAAATGCTTTCGAAAAATAACTTCAGCGTGTACATACTCTGTTGTCATGAAAAACATCCGTTAGCATGGAGAATCATATTGGCAGCAGCTGCACCGACTTATTCGCGTAGTACACGAAAAGAAAATCAAGCAGTTGTGTCATGAATATCATCTATACGTCAACCGTATAAAAGATAAACGAAGTCATGTGTAAAACGATTCGATTCACATAGCTACGTAGTATACGATTTAGGTAGAGACGGTGTATAATTATGTGCTGAAACGAATATAGCACGGTCTGCCAGCTCATCTCATACACTCTGACACTTAACGGGCTTAGCGCGTGGAGCCTACGCGCAAAGTAATTCGGGTGTACTCACGCTGATTTTGTGTGAGAGCTATGCATGGCATGCACAGGCAACTTAGGTATTTTACATACTTACATATGAGGAATTCTCCATTCTTTCTTCACTTTTCAGGGTACCCAAAAGTGCAAAATTTAAATTTTAAGCTACACCTCTATGAATTTTTTTTTTATTGGTGGTAACCTAAATAGTGGAAAAAATTCCAAGAACACGCAATTCAGGTCTGTGCACATTTTTTTCAGCATTGAATGTAAAATTCTATCAATTTTCATTAAAACAATGGACGTATTTTTATCTTTCGGACTAATAAACGCGAAAATGTCCTTACAAAAAATAGGCAGAACATCTTTCTCACCATTTTCAAAGGGTCTAAGAAGTAAATTTTTTCACCCCAGACCCTATTTACGCACTTTACTATAGGGAAATATTAAGAAGTATTCGAAAAATGCTGAAAATCTGGAAAAAAAAAAAAAATTAGTGTTTCTTAATTTTCTTTTGCAAAAATGTGGTAACAAACGGGAAATTAGCAAAATGTAAACTGCGCTATTGAAAAGAGCGACCTCGAAAATAGTGGGAAAGATGTTTTGCCTATTTTTTGTAAGGACATTTTCACGCTTATTAGTCTGAAAGATAAAAATACGTCCATTATTTGAACGAAAATTGATATTATTTTACATTTAATGCTGAAAAAAATGTGGAAAGACCTGAATTGCGTGTTCTTGAAATTTTTTCTTCTATTTAGGTTACTACCAATAAAAAAAAAAATTAATAAAGAGGCGTAGCTTAAAATTTAAATTTTGCACTTTTGGGTACCCTGAAAAGTGAAGAATGAATGGAGAATTCCTCATATGTAAGTATGTAAAATACCTAAGTTGCCTGTGCATGCCATGCATAGCTCTCACACAAAATCAGCGTGAGTACACCCGAATTACTTTGCGCGTAGGCTCCACGCGCTAAGCCCGTTAAGTGTCAGAGTGTATGAGATGAGCTGGCAGACCGTGCTATATTCGTTTCAGCACATAATTATACACCGTCTCTACCTAAATCGTATACTACGTAGCTATGTGAATCGAATCGTTTTACACATGACTTCGTTTATCTTTTATACGGTTGACGTATAGATGATATTCATGACACAACTGCTTGATTTTCTTTTCGTGTACTACGCGAATAAGTCGGTGCAGCTGCTGCCAATATGATTCTCCATGCTAACGGATGTTTTTCATGACAACAGAGTATGTACACGCTGAAGTTATTTTTCGAAAGCATTTGCCCGCTGGACGCTGGAGTTACAATATAGCCATGCTCTTAAATCTCATGTATGGTGGTCAGCGGCTGGACAAATTATCTTAAGTACCCACAACACTGACCACCATACATGAGATTTCAGAGCATGGCTATATTGTAACTTGGCTATGCCGCTTGCTGCTGACGCATCTCTATTTCTCACTTACACTTAATCCATGGACTCAACCGAGTCGATTATTGTTAGTTAATGGCTTGTAGTGTTTGAATTTTTTAAATAAAATTATTACATTAATTTACTGGTGCCGTTCAGAGGTTATGATTTAATGTGTATATTTCTCAAAAACAAGTGTTTTTTCTATTTCTATGATGGTGTAACGTTTGGAGCAGCTTGAAATAGTATGAGCAAATACATCTTCTTTAATGGTGTTAAAAACTTTTTTATTTCAATATTTTCAGGTACAATTCTTTGCTACACAGTTTCATTAGCTACATAGTGTTTCATTAAGTCGTTCATAAATTCGTTGTAAAATATTTTCCATGACCAACAACATATTTATGGCATCATTATAAATCATTTTTTTTTGTTCAACTGGTAGGTCTAATGAATGATGAAAATCTAATGTTAAAAAATTTCTATTAGCCTTTGTTGAGCTCCTGTACTTTGAATCATGAAGATAAAGATTCCATTGTTTTTTTTGATACTGAATAGCAGATTTAACAGTTTGAAGAAAAATAAAGCTAGTTCCATTAAAAAATTCAACAATTTTCTTGTTATGTTGATGTCGTATAATAAAAAAAAGTACAAAATTAAGTGTAACAATCAATTGATCGGAAATTTGGAGTAAATCTGTACGTACGCCGTTTAATGAAAAAATTTTTAAGAAAATTGGTTTAAGATTTATAATAGATAAGAAGTTGTTAGTAACATCTGTACAATTAATTGTTTTTGAATTTTTTTCAGCTATACATCCGGCGAACC